TGAGGTCACAGTGTTGTTCAGCCCCAGCAGCCTGTCAGAAGGGGAGTGAGGAGGAAACTCCAAGTATGCCAAAGGACAGGCCCAGCCAGTGGACGGTCAGTATCTGCTCGTCACCTACACTGAGAATAAAGATGACGTGTGTGAAGCGTGGGTTTTTTTGTTTTGTTGTTGTTTTTTTGTTTTGTTTTGTTTTTTAATTTATGCATGTTGTCAGCCGGTAACTGAACCTGAATAGTTTACTTGGCTTATAATGAAAACGGTGACATGGAGGGATGCAGTTCAACATGAAGGTGTGTCGTTGTGGTCATGTATGAACATAAATGAAACCTCACCGTTTCCTCTGTCGCAGGAGGGCACTACATCAGGCTCGGGGTCTTGTTCCTCTCAGGACACGGACATATCTCTACCGGGCGCCCTCTCCAGCAGCAATGCTGCATCCGCTAAACGTAATGACACCAACACCTTTACCAAGTATCACCACTGATAATCTTTAAAGGAAGTGGTGTGACTTGATGTCATAGAGAGTTCAAAAATAATACTTTAGTCTCCGTTACAGTGTATGCTCTGTTTGGCTGCTGGGCACATCACTTTTCTTGTTCTGTTTTTCAGCTGTAGATTGCCTTCCATCGTCATTCATGCCTCACAGTCTGGAGTCTCCACAGTCATTGAAGGATGTCTATGATAAACTAGGATGTGGGGATAAACTGAACGGCTGGACGAATGATTTAAACATACTCAGCAAGCCTGAACCAATCGCCGAATGTGAGACAAAGCTGGTTAATGTCTCCCTAAAAGCACAGCCTCAGCCTCAAGGTACAAGAAGCTCCATCGTGCATCTGTTGGTGTGTGAATGCGTGGACCTGTGTCCCATTTTTAAGTCTTTATGATAGACGAGTGCATGTGAAAAACAGTGGAGCTCATGATTCAGTAGGTTGTAAAACTACGTTTGGCAGCAGTAATGATTCTCTGTACCACTTTATCAGTCTCTCACACGCTCTTCTTTACAGCATTACTTCAGTTCACTGAAGTTTGTGGGCTTTCATTTATGGACAGCTCTTTGACTGGACCATTTTAACACTTTGATATTTTCTTTTTCTCAGCTGTTTTGTGTTTGGGATCATTGTTCTGTTACATGACTCAGTTTCGGCCACACTTTAGCTGTCAGACAAAGGAGTTCATGTTTGATTCAATGACTGCAACCTGCCTGGGTCATGTGGCTGCAAAACAAGCCTAAATTATCGCCCTTCCGCCAGCGTGCTTAACATTTGGTATGAGGTGATTGTGCTGATATGCTGTGTTTGGTTTGCACCACACGTGGTGTTCTACGTTATGGCCAAACATCTCCGCTTTGGTCTCATCTGTCCAGAGGACATTATTCCTGAGATTTGATCAGATGCAACTTTGCAAACTTAAACAATACATGTTATCAGGAGAAAGTCTCTAAAAACATCTTCAAACAAGAACTTGTTCAATGTTTTTCTGAGTGTTTGTCGTGAACTTTAGCATATAGGCCTGTAGAGTCTGAGACGTAGCTTTTGGGTTTTTCCCAGTATTGCTCATTCTGTCCATCAAGTACATTTGCTGGGATGTCCAGTCCTGGGAAGATTGTGGCATTGTGTTAGCACAGCTGAATGCTCCAGACGAGAAAATTGTCAAAACTTCTGCTTTTTTTTGAGGTGCTCACACTTGCTGATGATCAGTTAACCAAGTGAATTAAATTAGTAACACCCAGCTGCCCCTTAGCTTCTTAATTCCTATGGGAGCAGTAGAGATGCACTTTGTTTTTCACAGGACCTGCCTGTTCTAGTTGCACTTTTCTTTTTGTTTTCCTGGACACATGGTACCGATAGACTATCAACCTCATAATTCATGTTTCTGTGTTTTGCTGGCTCTGTCTAGTACAGGGCATTCAAGCGCACTTCGATCATTTTAGTGTAACTTTTATTTCTTCCTTAAGAAGATACAAATTAGAATCATAGTGATGCTGTTATCGTTCCTTTGTTCTTGACTAGTAGGCCCTGATAGCAAGTTACACTCCTATTCAGCTGATTGGCGTAACATAACATTGATTTGTAACACCTTACACTTTTGGTATAAAGAGTATATTTCACCCTTGCAGCAATGTTCAGCAAATAAGGCATAACTTTTTCTTGTTGCAGGTTACTCTCCTCCACCGCGGCACTCTCCTCCTCTGCAAGGTCCCATCTCCCAGTGGATTGCAATCCGGCGTGAGGAAATTGTCTCCCAGATGACAGAGGCTTGTCTGAACCAGAGCTTGGACGCCCTGCTGTCCCACTCCATGCTGATGAAAGAGGATTACGAACTGGTGATCAACCAGCCCACACGCACCGCTAAGGTCCGCCGACTTCTGGACACCTGCGACAAACACAACGAAGACTTCTCCCGCATCGTCGTCCGCAAGCTGCACGACAACAAGCAGATGAGCCTGCAGCCGTACCCGCCTGAAATCAGCTCGCCTATGGTGGCACCCAGCGCACCGTCACTGTCCATGTCCTACAATATCCCCAGGAAGATGTAGCAGCACTCACGGCCAAGACTTCCACATAAAGACTGTGCCAACTTGACACTACAACTAACTCTTTCTTGTTCAGTGTCATCCAGACACTCGCCACGGTTTAGACGGAAGAACAGCTGGTTGAGCAACTAAAGTGACAGGTACAAAACGTCATGTGTTACTATGGACACATCAACTCAAGATTTAAGGTTTTATTCTGTATGTTTAGAATCAAAAAGACTTTAACTGAAGCAGTGATTATTTTTTTAATGTTACGGATTTGATGTGAATATTTATTTGTAGTCCCTAAGTGGCTATATTGAGTGGTTTTCACTCTTTTTGGTATCTAATGCTTTTTGTCTGAAGACTATTAGATTAATGTTGGCCTGTTTGTGCGATCGTGTATCAGTATTTGCAGAATGCAAACGTCCTCATTTATTTGATGCAACTAAAGACAGGAGGACTGTTAACTGGAAAACCTGCTGTAAAAATAAGGTTTAACTCTTCTAGCAATCTTTATTCAAGTATCATGTATTTATGGGTTCTGGTCATGTTTACGGCCTGAGTGAGCGAGTGTATTGTTGTTCTATTTAAGCACAAGGTCTACAGAAAGTTTGAATAAGTGTTACTTTAAATAAGTGTTCCTGAACTTTAGCAGCTTTGCCAAACTAAGAGGAAAAGTTGGACTGAGTTGTGACCCAGTGGCAGACTGCATGGAAAGTTTTTACTCTTCCTCTATTTATCGCCAAGCTAAAGAGAGTCACAGGGTCACAAAGTAAAGAGGAAGCTGAGAGGGTAATACAACACCCAGAAAGAGGGATGTGGGTATGTGTGTGTGTGTGTGTGTGTGTGTGTGTCTGCATATAGTGGGTCATTAAAATTGGACCAAGTATGTGCTCTCATTTCTTTCGGTCGGTTCAGTAGCGACCTCACCTCAGAGACTTCAGGCTTATCTGGATCTTTCCAGACTTGACCTATCTTCCACAGACTCTAAGCTGAGATTACAAATAAATGTATTCCAACTGAGCTTCTCTGCAGTAGCATAAGAAAAAAAATCGAATACATGAAAATCCAGCTTTGCTTGTAGCAGATCTTTAGTTTACCTGTTCAGCGTATTTTTCTTGAACGTTGCAACTTTTTTTGCTGTTGCTACGCAGTCTGCTCAAAACAGCAGCAACATGTTTATTAAATCTGTCAGTCACTGACCTGCAAGGCAGAAAACTGTTGCATAAGTATACAATAAGCAAGTACTGGTTTATCTGTTAAACTATACCTTTGTCTGCCACAGGGCTCTTTGTTAGCTCCTTGACATAATAAGCATATATTGTACGTTCTTTCTGCCAGAATATGCTGTAGTTACACAACAGATATTTTCTGTTTTATTAGCATGTGTGCTCCTGCAGTTAACATATATATTCAGTCAATTAGCAAACAAACGGCCCATTTCATTCCCCATTTGGCATCTTTTAATGTGCCAAACATATTTTGTTGTTGTTGTTGTTGTTGTTGTTGTTGTTGTTGTTGTTGTTTAACCCTTCAGTGTCTCAAATAATCAAACATGCAAACCTATTCACAAACTGTCCTACACTGATTCTTAATAACTCCATTGCTTTTGCCTGTCAACACTTTCATCAGTAAGTAATTGTTTTGGTGGGTATGTTGTGTGCATGCATGTGAGCTTTTTCTTTTTTCTTTTTAAATACACACGGGCCTTGCCGCCCTCAACACTGCCTTCACTTCCTCAAATGGGTGCTTGCAATGACAATATTAAGCCGTGGCTCTGGATTTCAGTACCACCTGCAACACATTCATCACAGGAGAGTCAGTGTGATTAATTAATGTTTTTGTTTTTTTTTTTCATGCACATGTTCTGCATCATTCAGTCCAAAGTGACCACAGTTCAATGAAGACCTGAATCACACAGTGGGGAATGAGTCACAGCACACCAGACTTTGTAAAACACTGTTAGAGCAAATTATGCTCGAATGACAAAATGTCATTTAGATTAGAAAGGCCGAGCAGGGTCGATCTGCTTCCGTATGTTGGACTGGTATTGTTTTTGAAATCTGTGCCTCATATTCTGCTTCTGGTCCCACCTCGAGTTACAGGCAAACGCCTTCTACGTGCATATCAAGCAAAGCTGAGTGAAAATGCTATAGATTTGATAGTGGTGTGTATATGTTGTAACATATTTTTTTACTGTTTTTCTGTGATGTGTTTATTTGATACTCGTAGAAATACCAACTGAAAAATACGGAGCTAATTTAGAGCCCTTGTATTCAGTAGTGTCAGCCGATTGAGCAGTTCTGTCAGAGGTTTAACATGATGTGTAGCTGTGGTTTCAACTAGGATTTTCTTTTTTTATATTGTGTCAAACTCTTCATTAAAATGGCTACTCTGTTTTTAATTTAATTTGGTCTCATTTCTGCTTCTTGTTTTTGTAACAGTAATTTTAAAGGAACATTTTGCTCCTTTAATGATAATAATAATACATTTTATTTAAATAGCGCCTTTCAAAGCACCCAAGGACACTGTACAACAGAATGTTACATGTGCTGCTGATTGATGTAGCAAAACCACCAAGGGACCACACTGTATGCTGTTGTAGATAACTGAATAGGCCTAACAAAAATGCAAAGGTTCAGTGAGCTTCACTGAAAAATACACTTATCTGCCACTTTATTATCTACAGTTGCTAATACTGAGTTGGACCCATTTTTGCCCTAATTCTTGGCAAAATAAATTCAACAAGTTGCTGGAAACATTCCTCTGAGATTTTGGACCATATCGACATGACTGCATCACACAGTTGCTGCAGATTTATCAACTGCATGTCTGTAATATGACTGTGCATTTGTGAAATATCCCAAAGGAACGCGTTGACATGACACATTATCCTGAAGGCTACACAGTGGTCATAATAATATGGACATGGTCAACAATAATACTCTGGTAGTCTGAGGTGATCAGCTGGTGCTAAGTGAAGTGTGCCAAGAACCACACTCTTACACCACTACAGTCATCTATACAGGGCAGGATATGCCAATACCTTTGTTTATGCCAAAGTGTCACTTCAATCACCTTTCCTATGATGTTTGGTTGAACTTGAGCAGCTTTCTTCGACTACATTAACATGCCTAAATGCATAGAGTTGCTACTATGTGTTTGGCTACCAATAACTAGATATTTGAGTTTACAAGCAGTTCAACTGGTGTACATGCCTATTAAGTGCACATGAAAGATGTATGAAGCCACATTGACATCACCTACTGGTTTGTGAATTTTTGGAGCTAGAAGGTATTTGGATTATTTAGCTAGCGCTAGATAGCTTGGCTAGCAAGGTGGATTAACAGCCAAAAACTAGCTAATTGGTGCTAACTGCAGTAGAAAAGTGCACACTCTTTCTCAAATACTGAAGATGTCACCAACAACACAGAAATATTCAAGATATTCAGTGACTCGGACAAGCTGAAGTAAAGGTTAACGTACAACTAGAGGCTTCATTTGCCTATGTTGGCATACACCTGTTAGCTTCACAATCCATGACTTTAATGTTGAGTACAATTTAAACAGTCAAGTCTTCATCCTCATGGGCTAAGTTGCCAAAATAATTTTTGTAGCAGGCTATAAACATGTATATTGCTCCTGTAAAGCTGGGCATTTTAACATATCATGTGAGGACTGACTTACTTTTGAGCCGACCTCAAGTGGAAGTTGCACTTTTAGCCTTGGAGTTGGCTGCTTGGCAAGAAATAGTTTATTCAAGTTTGTACTTCACTTATAGATCGTTCAACAAACAAGCTGCTGGACATAGCTTTCTAGTCATTTTCCTGGCCTGCAGATGTCTACAAGGAGGCACAAAAACTCATAGTAGTAGAGTCTTCCTTCTGTATACCAGGGATGAGGTGGGTTATGCCCCTGGAAACACTCCCTGCAAATTAAGATAAGCTTAATGACACTTTTCATCACAGTATAAATAACTATCCTGTATGTCGGGTCAATTGGAGCTTGGCTCCCTCTGTCTCAGCTGTTGAAGGCTCTGTGTGGGCAAGAACGTCTGCTTGTCTCTGAAAATAGCACAGGGGGCAACATGAGAGTGTGGCCCAAGAAAAACACACGTTATGGAAGGGCTGACCTGCAGAGATTGCAACATCAACCATCCTGTTGGTGCCTCTCAGATGTGATCTCCCCCGGTGCCAGACTGGTGTTTCAGACCTGAGTGGTGGCCTGAGACAGACTGCATGTTCAGAGGAACAGACAGACTTGAAAACAAGGTGAGTTAATCTTTTGTTATTTACATGCCTGTATTATATGTCATGAGTCACTCGTGCTGTTCATTTATATCTATAATTATAAACAAAGGGGAGTGATCTGTGTTGGGGATTTGCATGCTTGTATTCTTAAGTTTGAACATGTGTCCTGGAGAATTTTTTATTTTTTTTAATACATTGTGTGCTAGGTAAGTCTGTTAAATTTGAATAATCCCATCTAATTTTACCCTATCATCTCCATCTCAGCTCTGCTGGAATAATGGGGGATCTGAGACAGACCATTGGGGTCATGTCACAGACGATATGTCCGAGCTCACGAGTTCCATCTGAGGAGGACCTAAAGGCTCCAAATGGTGTTAAAGAAGAGAAAATGCAGATGAAGAGGGAGATTTCTCTCCTGAATGGGATCTGCCTCATTGTGGGCAACATGATCGGCTCTGGGATTTTTGTTTCACCAAAGGGCGTACTCATGTACAGCGCTTCTTATGGACTGTCGCTGCTCATCTGGGCTCTTGGCGGGATCTTCTCAGTGTTTGGGGCTTTGTGCTACGCAGAGCTCGGCACCACCATCACCAAATCTGGAGCCAGCTACGCCTACATCCTGGAGTCTTTTGGTGGCTTCTTGGCTTTCATTCGTCTGTGGACGTCCATCCTCCTGATCGAGCCAGCCAGCCAGGCTGTGATTTCGCTGACATTCGCCAACTACCTGGTGGAGGCTTTCTACCCCACCTGCCAGCCGCCGTATGCTGCTGTCCGCCTCCTTGCTGCAGCCTGTCTCTGTAAGAAACACAGCTGTGTCTGAATGAGTGTGCCCACTGGGTTTTGTATTGAGCTGTAAATGTGGATTTTTAAATGAAACAAAATGTGCTGTTGCAGTTTGCTGCAGAAAAAGCTTAAATTTACTAACTACTCACATTTGACTCTAGCATGCTTTTGGTATACCTACGAGTTCATGGTCGACTCAATGACAGCAAGGACATTGTTCCTTAAGTCTTGTAGTTTGTTTAGATGCAACTTTGCAAAGTTAAGCTATGCTGCCATGTCCTTTTTAGAGAGAAGAGGCTTTCTCCTCCCAACCTTTCCAAACAAAGCTATAGTCATTCAGTCTTTCTTTCTAAGTGCACTCTTGTAAACTGTAACATTTAACATGTTTACTGAGGCCTGTAGGGTCTGAGATGTAGCTCTTGGGGGTTTTTGCAGTTTCTCTTAATGTTGCAGTGTGACCTTGGGGTGATTTTGTTGGAACATCCACTCCTGGGATGATTGCGACATGTGTTAACACACACTTGAAACTCTAAAACACCAAACCGCTAAAACTTCAGCTTGATTTCTGTGGAAGGAGTGAGAATGCACTTATTTTCTCAATGCCAAGTCTAAATTTGTATCAATTAAAGCCATTTCATTTCTTTTTAACCTCTACAAACAATTATTAAATTAATTAATAAAGCATCTACTTGGTAAACCTTGGTTAAACACATTCCTGCACTGGGTTTTAATTACATAATTATGGTGATACAATCCAATATTGCTACTTGTAATTTTACCCTGATATAGCCACAGCTTATATTAAGTTACTACTGATGAACACCTACCCTTATCCACTCCTGCCAGTTCGAAAACACAGCCCAGGGGCTCAGTGGTTAGTGCTCTTGCTTCACTGTTTTCTGTTTCAAGCTTGGGCCAGAATTATCTGTGTGGAGGTCTAGTTTGTCACTGGAGCTGCCCACTGCTAATGCTTCGAATGACTCAAATTAATTTCCTTACAGTCCCTAAACATGTATATCTTGCAGAATACAGTGTGGCTTTTATTGTGAGGCAGTCAGGAGAAATGTAAAATGTTTTGTTTCGTTTTGAATAGTTGAGTAAAACCAGATTAAAAGAGCTTTAGTGCTGCCCACAGTCACATCTGATCTATTCATGCCAGTACCAAACCCGATAGCCCTTTGTAGTACTGGCATAAGCTAAAGTTAGGCTGCCAGTCCCATGTCACAGAGTTTTGCAGTGATTGGATTGCAGACTGTAGCAAGCAGAAGTGTTATTTACGTGAGAGAGCAGCGATGCTGTGAATCACCCATCGCTCTACCAAGAAGTGTGATTCTGTTTTGGTATCCTCGAGCCATTTGCAGCCCACGTGACAGAAAGAAAGGAGCAGTGTGAGAGAGTCAGGTTTCTGTTTGCTACAAAGTGCCTTAGTTTCACAAACTGCTGGCTAAACTGCTGTGTCATGCAGGATTCCTTAATGTACATCGTAGAAAGCAGAAGCAGTGTTTCTGTGTTTGGTCATGTTTGTTCATTGCCTTCATCCTCTACTTTGTACCAGGTATCCTCATCTTCATTAACTGTGCTTATGTGAAGTGGGGGACTCTAGTGCAGGACATCTTCACTTATGCCAAACTGATGTCACTTTTCCTCATCATTATTATAGGAATCCTGAAGATATCCAGTGGTAAGTGAAAGTAAAAGTAAGAATTCGTGTGGGAAAGCTAAATAAAATGTTACACTCAAAGTAAAACTCGATCTTGTCTTTGTGTAGGAGAAACGAAGAGCTTTGAGAACCCGATGGAGGGCTCCACGGCAGACCCCGGCGCCATCGCTTTGGCCCTCTACTCAGCTCTCTTCTCCTACTCTGGCTGGGACACGCTCAACTATGTAACTGAGGAGATTTGTAACCCAGAGAGGTGACTGAGGCAGCGAAATGAAAAAGAAAATGCACTCAGACTCGTACGCTCGAGGCTCCATGGCAACTTCTGACTAGATTGTATTTCCTGCTTTTAGCTTAGTGATGAGAAATCCACTAAAAGTTAATTTTTGACAGTCCTGATCAATCAGAGTAGAAGGGTTAACATGCCTTTGAGCAGATTAGCTGAGATAGTACAGACAATAAAAATGAGCCACTGGACTCCTGCACTAAAACACAGCACTGACTATATTTTTAATGTCCACTCACAGCATTATACATCTGTGTAACGAGAACAAACAAAAAACATGACGGAGAATCATCTTAATGAAAGATTCGTGCAAAGCTGCTTATTTTGGAACACCATTAGGAAATCACAAATATACAGTGGCCCAATAAGAAAAACGCTGCAAAAGCACACAAAACAAAACGGAAATGGGGAAAAAACACAAGGGAAGTGTTTTTGGAGAGACAATAACCCGACGGACCAGTTGCAGGAACCCAAAACATGCTACGTATAATACTGATGACGGATTTTTATGCTAATAGTTAGGCTAACACACTTACCTCTCATCTTTTCTTTCCTCACAAAACCGATAGATCCTCCACTACTTTTAAGTGTCTCCCAGCGCAATTCTTAGCATATTTTGGTTCCTGCAACTGGTCCGTGGAGTTATTATCTCCCCAGAAACACTTCCCTTGTGCTTTTGGAAATCTGTTTTTTCCTATTTCCGTTGTCGTTTTTCCTATTTCTGTTTTCTTATTGCTGGTGTTTTCTTAAGTTGCAGTCCGTTTGGCCTCTCTGGGCCACCATACAATTAGCTATTTGTACGTAGATTATCAGATATCACCGACATTGAAGTCAAATAAATTCTCTCTAGATAACTTAAAGGAAAGCCCCCAAAACTCTGAAAGAGTGACTGTTTAATAGCCCTGATAAAATAAGTAAATTTCTCTACAGCCAGTGTTGTAGCTAAGGTAGAAAACCAATCCTATGAGTCATTTTCTGTGTTACAGCAACAACTCTTCTTACCAATAACAAACACATTTCTAAAAAGCTCTTTTGATTCTGTGAAATGTTAAAATTAGCAGGATGCAAACCTAATATAAAAGCTTAGGGTCAGAAGGTATTTGTTTGAAAATTTTGTGTTTTGCATTGAATGTTTCACACATTTTCTTTAAATCCACAATATTGTAATTATTGTGCTTTTCACCTTCCAAAAGGCAGGTCATTGTTTTGTTTGCTCTTAGAAGCAGCAGATATTTTAAGCAAAAAAGTATTTAAAAAAAAAA